CCCCCGCCTTCTCTCTCTGATCCCAAGACACCAAATAGCTCAGAGACAAGGGCAGAGCTGGAGGGGGATGTGAGGAGATAAGCTGATAAGAGATAAGAGGGCTACAGCCAGGCCCTCTGCCAGGGAATGCAACCCCCTATGCCCATGGCATACAGAGGTCAGCAACTGAAGCTACCTCACCACCAGAACTTGGCTTAAGGAAACAGAAAAACGCTATCTGCTTGGGGAACCAGCAGTTAGCGTAATGGCTATGTCGCTGGACTCCCACGTAGTCGACCGCGGTTCGTGTCCCGGACCCGGTGGCTTAAAACTCACGCTCGGCGCGTGTGAAACGGCCAAGATCCCGAGAGGAGAATGGAGGAGAAGGGATTGCGGCGTGACCATCCCCTCTGGGGGGTGATTTCTCGCTTTCTGTCTCTATGTCTCTGTCTGTCTGGCGAGCGCACGCACCCTACAGTGAAAATCTCTCCAAAAACAAACAAACAAACAAAAAAAAACAAACAAACAAAAAAAAACGCTATCTGCTTGCAAAGGTGAACTGTCCTGTCCTCCAGTCTCACAGGAGAAGCTGGTACTTGGAGAATGGACATGGCTAAAACGTGAAGTGCCATCCTGACCAAAGAGAGGACAGTGGCTGTGCAACAGGGCAACAGTCCCAGAGGAAACCCGCCACAGCTGAAAACAGCAGCAGAGCGGCCTCAAGAAAGAAAGGCCTAGCAACTGAGGCCTAGCAACTGAGACTGAACGCTTTGGAACTATCATGTAGGGTCACTCCTGCACCAACACCCTCAAGCCCCCTACCTGCATGGTGATGGTGGGGGTGGTGAGCCCTCCGGCCGCCGTCAACGTGGTCTGCGCAGCTGATACAGTGATGGCAGTGGGGTTGATTACCTGGCTTGAGAGGGTGGCAATGGTGCCCAAAGTGGTGATGGGTGTGGCCAGGGAGGCGCTGGTGCTATGGCCCCCAGCTCCTGCGAGGCTGGTGGAGACAGTGCCTGTCACTGTGCCTAGGGTCGTGACGCCTAAAGGAAGGGAGGCCGAGGTAGAATGAGGCCTGCTGCTGTCACCTCCTTGCCAGGGGCTTGGGGTACTGGGATCTCTGGGGTGCGGCTGCTAGGACTAGAAGGATACAGGGGAGAGCACCTGCCATCCTCCATCCTCCCAAGCTGCCCTATGGGAGATGGCCATTAGGGGATTTCAGGGACTAGAACCCAGCATGGCTGAAGCCCTGTGCTCCAGCTACACACCTGTGGTGCCCTTCACAACCAATGTAGTGACGGCCGGCTTGACAGCAGAGACAGTGACGGGGGTGACCAGACGAACGCCCCCCATGGGCACAGTGCGCAGGATGGTGCCTGGCTGTCCAGGGGCCCCCTTGAGCACCACCTAGAACACCAAAGTCCCACCAATGTCACTCCAGGCTTGTCAGGAGAAATCATGTGGCCACGGGACTAGAAACTAGGGTGAGGAGGGCCAAGTGGGCCTCACCTGGGTAACTCCCTGCTGCCCATGGCCAGTGGCAATTTTGGGGACAGCAGTGATGATTTTGGCGGGTGCTCCGGTTCCTGAAGTCATGACCTTGGTGGTGATAATGGTGATGGGGGACTTGATACCAGGACTGCTGGTCACACCTAGATGAGAGAGCAGGGCCCAAGGAAGTCAAATTCTGTGATGGCTTTCTGTGTCCTGTTCCCTGGGGCCCTCTTTGTGAAGAGGCACCCTGTTGTCACAGGATGGAAGTGAAGAATTTCATCTAACAGCTCCTCATCAGTTGGAACCTTCCAAAGTCTGTGCCCCAGGGGAGGCCCCTACCTGTGGCGCCTGCCTGGGTGATGATGGCCGACATGGGGATGGTCTTGATGATGGTGGTTGTGCCGGGCTTAGTGGTGCTGGGGGAGACACTGCTGATGCCCAGGATGGTGGGCTTGGTCCCTGCCCCGCTGGCCTGTGTGGTAGTGATGATGGTAGTGGGCTTGCCATCTGCTGATGTCACCAGCTTCAGGATTGTCCCCGCTGGCAGGGGCCCTTTGGTCTGCAATGGGAAGCACGTAGGGGAGGTGGTGAGATGAATTGGCATCCACACAGGCTGCTCTATATGCCCCAGGTGATGGACGTTTGGAGCCACATGTGCACATGGGAGCTTCCCTGCAGATCAGCGCCTACTCTGGCTTGCGTGGCAGTCTGGGGAAGGTGCTGTGAACTCACCTGGATGATCTGAGTCACAGGGCCCGTAGATGCCTGGCCCGTAACTGCTGAAGTCTGAACTGGTTTGGTCTGAACTACCGACATCACTTTACCCAGATTGGAGATCTGAAAAGAAAACCGTGGAACAGGGAGTGATCCAATAACCAAAAAAGGGCATGCCCTGCCTGGGCTGAGACTCGACTGGAGCTGTCACATGCAGGTGGGCTGCGCCTGTCACTTACCAGAGCACTGCCCCCTGGGACAGAGATGGGGCTCTTCACCAGAGTGATGGTCTTGGTGACCCCACCCACTACTGTGGTCACCACCTGGGCTTGCTGGGCCACTGTCACAGTCCCCGACTTGTGCACTGTGATGATGGGGCGGGTAGATGTGTTGGCAGCAGAGGAGACAGATGTTCCCACTTGGGCAGCTGCAGTCTTCAGCATGCGAGTGGCTGGGTTGCTCACCTGGCAGGGGCAGAGACAACTGATAGGCAGGGCAGAGAGCCCCAGATGCCAACCAAAACATCCATGGTAGGCCCACAGCCCTGTCCTCACTGTTCACCTTCCTTCTCCCCACAAGCTGAAAAACAGATCGCCTGCAAAGGGCAAGAGAGCACAATGGTCAACCCAACAACCACTGGTTTAGTTGAAGATCCTCAAAGTCCTACAGGGGACAGCTTATTCCACACTTCATGGCATGCAGCAACTTTGAGCTGACGGCCTTATAGGTTGGTCTGATGACCAGAAGAAGTGATTACTGTCACAGTTACCAGAAGCCCCCAGACCTGAAACTGCTGGCTCAGAATCAAGTCTAGAAGATGCTCACCATGACTGGCGAGGAGGCCACCTTCACAGTGGCTGGGAGGGTGGTAGTGCCAGGCGTCACAGCCACAGTCTTGACAATAGTGGTGCCAGCTGGGACACTCAACACCGTGGGCGCCGAGGAAGGAGGGATCTTCTGGGTGGCAGCAGCTGCGGCTTCAGTGAAGCCATCCCACTCATCTGTGGGCTGCTGCCGATCACCTGTGGTGGGCACAGGGTGTATGAGCCCATGGTGAGCATCACCTACCTCCCCGCCCTACCCTGCAGGCTGCAATCAGAACCTTCCAAGGGGCTCAGCCCTGCTAACTTCTCCTGGCCCCCAAAACGGAGGACTCCTACCTCTGACCAGGCTCAGTCACTCCAGCAACAAAATTCTTCCAAAAGCTCTGGACCTTTTGTAAAGACCAGAGGCAAGGCTGGCTATCACACTACAGTTTAACGTTGCCCAGAGAAGGCTGGAAACTACAAGACTGATCAAGGTTCAAGTCTCAGCCCTAGGGGCTTGAAACCATGTCGGTCATGGGCACACACATGCCTAGGAACCTGACAGGAAGCAGGACAGGAAGAAAAAGGACTGCAGTACGACCCCGCTAGGGGGCTAGCACTTGCTCACACTCACACTCGTCCAGGTGCCTCCAATATAACAAAACCAAAAAACAGCCACAGAGCCAGACATGGTTCATTTCTCATGGGCCTGGGTCAAATACAAATGGCTAAATTCTCCCCTCAGGCTCCAGAACAAGAAAGTCCACATGGAAAATGCCCCCAGGATCCGGGGCATTAACTTTATTAACTCTTGCCACAACCTTGCCAGAGATCTCTCACCACTTGCCCTTCAGATGGGAAAGGCCCAGGAAGCTCGGCACTAGAACCAGGTGGGATCCAAATCCCATCAGAGTAGATCACTGGAAGCCCTCCACCCCTACCCCCAGGTTCAGCAACCCCTCCTCACCGTCCCCTGGGCACTCTGTGTGGGCACAACCATGCGCACTCCTGCAGGGAGAGAAGTCACAGTGACAGGGGCTTTCCCAGCTTGGCTGGCAGGTCGCATGGTGACCAACGGAGTTCCTGTCGTAGCCTGAGGGCCAGTCACTTTGAGGACAGCAGGGACACCTGAGAGGGGAGGTAGGTCATCAGCAAGCCACCTTGCAGCAGTGCCCCCAGCCCCTCAGGGAGAGTCCAGCCAGCAGATGTGGATGCCCCTGCATGCTGCTTGTGCTCCTGCCTGGCTCTTCATGCCTCAGCGATGGTCTCTGCTTGGGCCATGTTTCCTTGGCTCCAGGCATTCGCCACCAGGCGGAGCCTCCTGGCCCCTCCCCTCAAACACCCCTGCCCCCGGCCTACCTTGGGTCCTAGCGGCGGTGGGCACGGAAATGGCGCTGCCGGGCACTGTAGGCAAGACCTGGATGGTGCTGGTGGTCGGGGGTGCGGCGGCGGCCTGGGGCAGGAGCGTGATGCCTACTTGGGTCAGCGGCTGCACAGCAGGTGCGGCTGCTGCTGGGGCAGGGCTCTTGGGAGGGTTGGCAGGCACAGACGGGACCGGATTGGGTGTGGGGGAAGTGGCAGGAGCAGGCGGGGGAGGGGGTGTC